TGACAGTGTGGATGACCCATGAGGGCATTATGCTAGGTGAAATAAGTCAGACAGAAAAAAAATACTGTCTGATCTCTTACATGTGGAATCAATCAGTAACCAAGGTGGGAGATGAGAGAAACTGTTAAAGGATTGAAAATTTTTAAAACTTTTAAAGAAGTGAAATTCAATATGCATCAAAAGTACAGCATGTGGTAGGTAATACAATGGAATATTATTCAGCTATAAAAGGAATGAAATTCTGATATACGCTATAACTTGGATAAACCTTACAAATATGCCAAATGAACCAATCCAGACACAAAAGAAAAAATGGTGTATGGTTCCACCTGTGCAAGGAACCTAGAATAGGCAAATTCATAGAGACAGAAAGTAGAATAACAGGAGCTAAGCAGGATGGTGTAGGAAGTGAGAGGGATGAGGAGCTGTTGTTTAACGGGTACAGAATTTCTGTTTGGAAAGATAAAAATTTCTGAAAATAGATAGCAATGATAATTAAACAACACTCTGTATGTGCTTAATGCCAATCAACTGTACACTAAAAAATTTCATGCTATGTACATTTAACCATCTTTAAGAAAACTTTAAAAAATATAGCCTGTATTTTCAACAAGAAGTTTTAAGATGATTAGCAGCCTTAATAGTATTAAAATAAAGGACAGATAATTTATGTTCAAGTTCCTAACTATGGACATCAAAGAAGGCAATATCAACTCTTAGCTGGTCTTGGTTTAAAGCACACATCTGAAAATGAGTACATACCTTGCAAAGTTTTAAGGAACATTATTTCACCGTGTTGATACAGTCAGTTTTTTTTATAGCTCCTTGAAAGGTGCAAGAACTATACTGAGGAGATACCTTATATGAGACCAATACATAATGGTGGTTTTATAAGGATGTACTTATTCAAAAAGAAGCATGATAACATGAGTGCAATAGTATACCTGTGTAGGGCACCATAAATGGAAGTGTAAATCAACTGATATTCAATTGAAGAGTAGAAACTATTTAAATTAAACCATACTTCAAAACACTAAAAGCGAAAGCGAAGTCACTCATTCGTGTCCGACTCTTTGTGACCCCACAGACTATAGAATACAAGGTCCCTCCGTCCGTGAAATGTTTCCCAAATACTTTAATTTCAAACAGAAATTAAAGCTCCATTATTTTAAAGGATACATGCACCCCAATCTTCACTGCAGCACTGTTTACAACAGTCAAGACATGAAAGCAGACTAAAAGTCCATTGACAGAACAGATAAAGAAGATGTGGTACATATATACAATTGAATATTACTCAGCCATTCAAAAGAATGAAATAATGCTATTTGCAGCAACATTGATGGACCTAGGGAGTGTCAGACTGAGTGAAGTAAGCCAGACAGAGAAGGAGAAATATGGTATGACATCCCTTATATATGGAATTTAAATAGAAATAATACAAATGAACTTACAAAACAGAAAAAGACTCACAGACTTAGAAAACGAACTTATGGTTGTCATGGGGAAGAGATAGTTAGGAAGTTTGGGTAGGTCATATACACACTACTATATTCAAAATGGATAATCAACAAGGACATATTACATAGCACATGGAATGTTATGTACCAGCCTGGATGGGAGGGAGGTTTGGGGGAGAATGGATACATGTATATGTATGGTTGAGTCCCTTCACTGCTCACCTGAAACTACCACAACATTGTTAACTGGCTATACACCAATACAAAAGAAAAAGCTTAAAGTTTGAAAAAATAAAAAATACTATTCAAAGAATAGTATTTCTCATTGGAAAAGACCCTGATGCTGGGAAAGATGGAAGGCAGAAGGAGAAGGTGGAAACAGGATGAAATGGTTGGATGGCATCATCGACTCAATGGACATGAGTTTGAACAAGTTCCATAGAGAAATGCAAATCAAAACTACAATAAGGTATCACCTCACGCCAGTCAAAATGGCCATCTTTAAGATATCTACAAATAATAAATGCTGGAAAGGGTACAGAGAAAAAGGAACCCTCCTACATTGTTCTAGGAATATAAATTGGTGCAGCCACTATGGAGAACAGTATGGAGGTCCCTTAAAAACTTAAAAATAGAATTACCATGTGATCCTGCAATCCCACTCCTGGGCAAAAACTCTAATTTAAAAAGATACATACAGAACCCCAATGTTCACAGCAGCATCACTTACAATACCCAAGATACGAAAGCAACCTAATGGCTCATCAACAGATGAATTGATAAAGAAGATATGGTGTGTGTATATATATATGTATATACATATGTATATATGTGTGTGTATATATGTATGTGTATATATGTATACATACATGTATGTATATGTGTATATATGTATACATATGTATATATACATATATTCATACAATGGAATATTACTCAGTCATACAAAAGAATGAAATCATGCCATTTGCAGCAATATGGATGGTCCTAGGAATTACCATACTAGGTGAAAGAGGTCAGACAGAGAAAGACAAATGCCATATAATATCATCTGTGGAAACTAAAAATACAATACAAATAAACTTATTCACAAAACAGATATAGACTCACAGACACAGAAAACAAATTTATGGTTGCCAAAGAGGAAAGTGGGGGGATGGACAAATTAGGAGTTTGAGATTAACAAATACACACTACTACATATAAAACAAATAAACAAGGACAAGGAACTATATTCAATGTTCTGTAATAATCTATAACAGAAAAATAATCTGAAAAAGAATATATATATATGTATATATACATATATATAACTGAATCCATTCGCTGTACACTCAAAACTAACACAACACTGTAAATCTACTATACCTAAACTAAAAAAAAAATGTTTTTCAGAGAACTATAATAAAATACTCAAGGAATCAAAGGCCAAAATCCAACTATTATTAGCAAACATTTATATGGCTCTTACAGTATGCCTGGTGTCCTATAACCTCTTTATATGTACTACTAACTCATATTACCCTAACAACAATCTCAGACAACAAGTATTCTTATTATTCCCATTTTACAAATGAGGAGGTCAACTATCTTGTCTGGGCTCACTGTCCTACTAGTAAGTGACACAGCAAGAACTGGAATCCTGGAAGTATGGTTTCTGGGGCCTTATTTTTAATTGCTATGGTTTACAATTTCTTGCTGATCCTAAGGAATGGACTACAAAAAGTACAGGAAAACTCAAAATGCAAAGCAGTTTGAGTGGTCAAAAATAACAAAAATCACCAAATCACAACATAACAATAAATGAAATTCATAATGACTGCTCTGAGACATAAGGCAAAGTTAAAATATGTTCAGCATACTTACTGTTTAAGAAGGCAAAGAATTATTTAGTGCATTCAAAAATTTTCCATCGAAAACAGTCAGTACGATTTTTATTTCTAAAGAGGTTAAAAATTTCAACTGTCCAAAATTACTTATTCTGCAAGAGTTCCAAACAGAAAGGTCCTCAGCAATCTTATTTGCCAATTACCCCATTCTTAAAGAAAAGTGTGTGTGTGTGTGTGTGTGTGTATGGGGATCATAAATAAACTAAACTTTTCAGGGGTTTTGATTCTAGGTATATGAGAACTTAATACTAAAGATATTAGAAAATGTCAAATCATTTGGATAGATGAGTGAATAAGCTCACAGAATTATGCAGTATTATTGTAAAAAGCCTAGAACTTTATCATAGTACAATTATAATTTTTTTTAAAGTACAGGCTTTCAAGTCATACATAGACCTGAACTTCAAGCTTGTCTCCACCAGTATAGTTACTGTTAATTTTTGGCAAGTTATTTTCACATAACTGGGCCAAACTTTTCATTTGTATAAGTTGAGGATACTAATTCCTAACTCACAAGGTTCTTGTGTGAGCTCAGAAAAAAACACATGCAAAGTGCTGAACACAGTCGCTGTGATATAGCAGATGGTCAACATGAGCGACTACTATTATTCTCTAACCTTTTTCTACCTGTTCCCCAAATATAAGAAACTAATCCTTACCAATTATCAAGTCATCATAGGCATCTCAGAAAGACAGTAAGTACCATATGCCCTATTCAAAAACTTGACATACTAAAAGTACAAGAAAATACAAAAAAAAACCATCAATGAGACACCAAAAAAGTCGGACTCCTGTTTCTCCTCTATGTCAACTCTGGTTGGTTTTGTAATAACCTGTATTCCCGTATCAAAAATACGAAATTCTATTATATTGGGGGCAGTCTAAACATTTCCAGTTAGGTACTGTTGCTTATTTATTTTGACAGCTACTTTTGTGAGGGTAACTGTCATCTTTGCTTGAAAACCAAAAAAAACAAAAACAAAACCAGGGATAGGAGCATTTTAGTGAAATGCTGTTTCATCTATCTTGACAGCTGATTGGATGCCATGTAGATCATTTATTGCTGCAATAAATTTTCACATTACTGCGCCACCCCCTTACCCAACAAATATTATACACGCTTTAATGAACAGAACTCCTTACTGACAGGGAACGAATGCTCTATAGGGACACAAAAACTCAAAACTTGGTGCTCTCAGTAAGGATCCGAGGGGAGATGGCTGGGTGTCGCTGCAAGAGGAAATGAACAGAATCGGAAGCCGTTCTGTCTCCGTAAACAAGACTGGAGATAAGCCCTATATAGGGGGTAGGAGCGGAGAGAAGCGGGTGAGGTGGGCCTGGAGACAGCTGAGGAAGGCGGTGGCAGCTGCAGTCTGAGGAAACGTCTGTGCCACCGGAGAGAGGATCGTCGGAGCCCATCGCCACGCCGAGAGCGGAGGCGGAGAGAAGTGGCAAGCTCAGGCCAGTCCCCAGAACGGGTTCAGCCTCCGGATTCTGGGAGGACAGACGGAATGGGCACCCCACTGATTAAGAAAGATGAGGGCAGAGGCGGGCTCCCAGCCGCCTTCAAAACGGGACGCTGCCGGCCCCGCCGCCATCCCGGTGCCGTTGGAGATGAAGGCAGGGACCCAACAGGGAGCGAACAGGTTACCTGTCTCAGCCGCCTGCCCGCGGGTCTCCACTTCCTCAGACTGGGTGCTACCACGGGCTACCCGGGCACGCGCCGAGTGATGTCATCTTCGCGCGCCCAAGCAGAAGTCCGGCTAGCCCCGTCCCCCTAGATTAGAGGGGTGGGGCAGTAGAGTCTGCGCAGGCGCGATGCTGCCTTGGGCATGGAAAGGCGAGAAAAAGGCTTGGTTTGGGTTGTGTGCGGTTGCCCTCACCCAACTACTCATGCAAAATCTTATAGGCACTTAAAAAAAAGTTATTTAAATACAGACATGGACTTTTTATTCCTTATTTTGCTCTTCCTCTTCTGTATATCAGTCAGTTCAGTTCAGTTTAGTCGCTCTGTGGTGTCCGACTCTTTGCGACCCTATGAACCACAGCACGCCAGGCCTCCCTGTCCATCACCAACTCCCTGAGTTTACTCAAACTCAAGTCCATCGAGTCGGCGATGCCATCCAGCCATCTCATCCTCTGTCGTCCCCTTCTCCTCCTGCCCCCAATCCCTCCCAGCATCAGGGTCTTTTCCAATGAGTCAACTCTTCTGTGTATAACCCTTGTTTGAAAACTCACTCATTCAACCGCAATTAATTAAAGTCCACCTATGTTCCAGGCACGGAGAAGGCAATGGCACCCCACTCCGGTACTCTTGCCTGGAAAATCCTATGGATGGAGGAGCCTGGTGGGCTGCAGTCCATGGGGTCGCTATGAGTTGGACACGACTGAGCTACTTCACTTTCACTTTTCACTTTCATGCATTGGAGAAGGAAATGGCAAGCCACTCCAGTGTTCTTGCCTGGAGAATCCCAGCGACGGCGGAGCCTGGTGGGCTGCTGTCTATGGGGTCTCACAGAGTCGGACACGACTGAAGTGACTTACCATACCATACCATGTTCCAGGCAAGCACTGCTAAAGAATCGGGGATACGGCAACGACAAAACAGACAGAATGCCTAACCTCACGGAGATTACTTTCTAATTAAGAAAGTGAACATTGAATAACTCCGCAAAGATCTTTTAGGCATACGTCATTTTATTGCACTTCACTTTAGGTCACTGGGCAACTCTACCATTGTCAGATAATGGTTAACATTTTTTAGCATTAATTATTTTGATTAAGATATGTATTTTTGACATAATACTATTGCACATTTAATAGACTATAACATAGTGTAAATGTAACGTTTATTTTGACTGAAAAACCAAAAAATTTATGTGAATTACCCAAGATCTATAGGAGGGATGTAAAGAAGGGCCCAATAAAGAGGCTGTTTAAACCGAGAAGGGAAAAAAACCAGCTCAGTGAAGATCTGGAGTAAGAACAAACAAGAAAATGATGGAAAACTATGTCCTTCTATAGAGGACAGAATGTAGTGCTGTCCTTATGTGAGAAAATAGGCCAGGGGAAGAATATGGTGTGCTGTGCTGTGTTTAGTTGCTCAGTCGTGTCTGACCCTTTGCGACCCCCGTGGACAGAGGAGCCTGGCAGGCTCCAGCCCATGGGGATTCTACAGGCAAGGGTACTGGAACAGATTGCCATGCCCTCCTCCAGGGGATCGTCCTAACCCAGGGATCGAGCCAGGTATTCCGCATTGCCGGCGGATTCTTTACCATCTGAGCCACCCGGGAAAACCAGGGGAAGAATGGAAGATGAGATTATCAAGGCAAGGAGTGTTCTGATCTTGCAGAGCCTTGTTTTTTAGGAGATGTGGATTTTATTTTAAATATAGTGGGAAGTCAGTGAAGAGTTTTAAACATGCAAGTGACAGGATCTGGTTTTATAAGATCATCCTAGCTGTGTTTAACAATAAACTGTTTGGAGGCAAGAAAGGATGCAGAGAGAACAGTTGATTTTGCAATAATCAGATGAGAAATGATGGAAAGAAATGGAAAATTTTAAGGGATAATTTGGAGGTAGATTTGATGACTTGAAGATGGATTATATAAGGCTATATGGAAAAGAAAGGTCAAAAATGACTCCTATATTTTTGACTTGTTCAGATAGTTGAAAAATACAGGTAAGACAATTTCTAATGTTGTTGTACAGTACCAAGTCGTGTCTGACTCTTTGTGACCCCATGGACTGCAGCACTCCAGGTTTCCCTGTCCTTCGCTATCTCCCAGAGTTTGCTCAAATTCATGTCTATTGAGTCAGTGATGATTTCCAAACATCTCATCCTCTACTGCCCCCTTATTCTTTTGCCTTAAATCTTTCTCAGCATCAGGGTCTTTTCCAGTGTGCTGGCTGTTCCCAAGAGGTGGCCAAAGTATTCGAACTTCAGCCTCAGCAACAGTCCTTCCATTGAATAGTCAGGGTTGATTTTCTTTAGGATTGACTGGCTTGATTCCTTACTATCCAAGGAACTCTAAAAAGTCTTTTCCAGTACCACAATTCAAAAATATCAGTTTCTCCATTCTCAGCCTTCTTTATGATCCAACTCTCACATCCATACATGACTACTGCTAAAACCACAGCTTTGACTATGTGGACCTCTGTCGGAAAAGTGATGTCTTTGCATTTTAATATGCTGTCTAGGTTTGTCATAGCTTTCCTTCCAAGGAACAAGTGTCTTTTAATTTCATGGCTTTAGTTACCATCCGCAGTGATTTTGGAGCCCAAGAAAATAGAGTCTGTCACTGTTTCTGTTGTTTCCCCATCTATTTGCCATGAAGTGATGGGACCGGATGCCATGATCTTAGTTTTTTTTGAATGCTGAGTTTTAAGCCAGCTTTTTCACTCTCCTCTTTCACTTTCATCAAGAGGCTCTTTAGTTCTTCTTCACTTTCTGCCATAAGGGTGGTGTCATCTGCATATCTGAGGTTATTGATATTTCTCCCAACAATCTTGATTCCAGCTTGTGCTTCATCCAGTCTGGCATTTTGCATGATGTACTCTGTATATAAGGCAAATAAGCAATGTGACAATATACAATCTTGACATACTCCTTTTCCAATTTTGAACCAGTCAGTTGTTCAGTGTTAAGTTTTTAGCTCTTGCTTCTTGACCCACATACAGATTTCTCAGGAGACAGGTAAGGTGATTTGGCTGCAGTCACCATCTGCAGTGATTTTGAAGTCTCCCCCCCCCCCAAAATAAACCTAGACAGCATATGAAAAAGCAGAGACATTACTTTGCCCACAAAGGTCCATCTAGTCAAAGCTAGCTGTGGTTTTTCCAGTGGTCATGTATGGATGTGAGAGTTGGACTATAAAGAAACCTGAGCACCGAAGACTGATGCTTTTGAACTGTGGTGTTGGAGAAGACTCTTGAGAGTCCTTTGGACAGCAAAGAGATCCAACCAGTCCATCCTAAAGGAAATCAGTCTTGAATATTCATTGCAAGGACTGATGCTGAAGCAGGAAATCCAATACTCTGGCC